AAATGTGTATCAATAATTGTGTATGTGTGTCTGTCTTGTAGGGGGTGATCTAATGTTTTCATTTCTGTATGGTCAGTCTGTTAATCTATGGCTGCTTTTACATACGTATTCTTTATTTTAGATAAATATCAGTGAGTTTGTTTAAGAATGAATCCAAAGGAGTATGGTGATGCAAGGTAATGTTTTAAGCGTGTGTTTATTGTTTGTTATAATGTTATTTTTCATCTTTCAAAGAATTTTCTCCTTAAAGAATTATGTTCTTATTTAATTAATTACAACTGACTCCATTCAAATTCGAAATTCTTCCAGTGAATACTTTTCTCCTCAAAAATTGTTTAAAAAATGCTTTAATATGACGATAATATTACTCCCTTGGCCTTTTTTTCTCCATAACAGCGACATTTGTCGCCGTTATTCTAATGCCGTGGTTGATGGTATCCTAAACCTTCTGAACAACATCAGGCGTCTTTATAACGGTTAAGCCCTTAGAATATGTATTTTCATCACTGTAGTACTGGGTGTGACGATAAACTACATCTAATAGCATGTTCTCTGATCCGGAGATTGAAGATTTTGGGGTGCATGGAACCACCTCTTAATTGCTGTTTTTTTCTAGGTACACAAGCGGCGTTGTAACACGTCAGTGTCTCAGTTATTGGCAAATAGTGAATCCCGCCACAAAAATTACCATACAAGTCGAACAATATATTTTTATATTAATTTACAAATTATACGTTTTTTTATAGCAAAATTATCGACAATAAATAGTTATAGCAAAATTACCAACAATATCAATTTATTACTAACAATACATTCATATTAAAATGAACCACAACACATTTTATCTGTAGCTGAAGGCATACCATTTCGTTCAAAATTTATTTAGTTGAGATCATAAAATTGTGTTCGAAATATTTAGATTTTGGCATTAAATAACACATCGAAGTCGATATGATGCAAAATGAAATAAACCAACATGAAAGAACTCTTTTATGACATTGATACATATAATGTTTTACAATTTCTTAAATAAATCACATTGTATTTTAAAATATAATTTCAAAAAAACTACAACACAAGACGCATATATAATAATTATGACCACACAAACAAGTATATGCACAAAATCTGCGTATCATCTACCATGTATTCAATTATGAAAGCAGAATAAGTCATATCATATTTTACTTCAAATCTCCCAAGAAAAATTAAATTAGGCATTAAATGACCTATAAGGAGTTGATATAGCGTTAAACTAACAATCTTGACAACTAATATGACGTAGCTATAAAACGCACAATCCCTGTCTGAATTAAAAACAAAGATTGTGGCTATTTTCAACAAATTCCGAAAGTGGTTAGCAGCTAGATACGCGAACCCACTGCATTTTTTAATTCATCATATCAGGTGAAAATCTACTATATTCATGTTTTTGATATGTTTGAAAGAGGGAGAAAAAAAATAAAATTTGGCGCACCCCGGACAACATTACGTTAAGATGTCTTTCATTTTTTTACGCACGAATTGTATTTTTCCCAAATGCCGAGTGTACTTTTAAAATACTATTATGTGTTTCAGATAGCAAATTTTCAACTGAATTTCTGTCTAATTAAAACTGAAGGGATGTTTATGATTTATTCCGGGCTATACAAAAATTGGAAAACTCAGTGAGTGTTTTGAATCTTGCGCGCATGGAATCCTGACAATAATGAAGTTTTCATGTAAGACCGATAATGTATGATAACGATCCGGCTTAAATAGTGGAGATGACAGCACTAGTGCAGGTTTTTGTCAGTGCATTCCCGACTCTGATGCTCTGCGTGTCGTGGTTTCAGAAGAAAGACGATGGGTATATGGTCGACATGTTAATGTCTGTTCTCTTTCCCCATTCCCTTCCTCCAAGAAATGATGCTTCTTCAAAATAAAGCAATGAAGCAACGAATAATTCTTCGGCCTTAAGGAAAGTGGACACAAAAATGGCACATATTCCAAACCAGAAAGTTACTGCTGAAATTTATTGGGCATATAATGAGGGAAAGGGACTTATATAATTTAGCAAACACTCGATATATTGATAGAAAAAGGCACAGGTTTCTGCACCGTGACAACTTCCATGGCCAGCCTTTGTGGATAAATGATGGTATGGGGTTGGGAGGGATGGCATGAACACAAAGGCTACTGAGAGCTCTAAGGGTAATGAACCCGGATAAATATAATGGTCTACGTCCTAAAGGGACACGGCACATAGAAGAAGAAGAAGAAGTATTAGCAATCACGTGACCTGGGAAAAATTGTCTTTCGTCGATTAATCTTGTGGTGCAGCATTGAGGGCCCCACTGAGGAACTGATGTGAGTCAACATGAAACCAGAATTGATATTATTTTGAATTAGAATCTTCATAAAATATTTATTTTTTAAATCAGTATCACCCTATGCAAAGCAGTAGAAGCACTAAGACATTTTGCGCTACACAGTGTGGGAGAATTAGAAAGAGAAACAT